AAGGGGAGCTAAAGTTACTTACAGCAAGCTAAAGGGGAGCTACAGTTGTATAGATCGAGCTGAAGGGGAGGTAAAGTTACCTTAAGCATGCTAAATGGGAGCTTAAGTTATCTCGAGCGAGCTGAAGGGGGGCTAGAGTTACTTAAGGCAAGCTAAAGGGGAGCTAAAGTAATTTTAAGCGAACGAAAGTGTAGCTGAAGTAACCTAAAGCGAGCTGAAGCGGAGCTTAAGTTGTAAAGAGCGAGCTGAAGGGGAGCTAAAGTTACTGAAAGTAAGCTGAAGGGGCGCTAAAGTTACTTTAAGCAAGCAGAAGGGGAGCTTAAGTTACTTTAAGAAAGCCAAATGGGAGCTTAAGTTTCTTACAGCAAGCTAAAGGGGGGCTAAAGTTGTATAGAGCGAGCTGAAGTGGAGCTAAAGTTATTTTAAGCAAGCTAAAGGGGAGCGAAAGTTATCTAGAGCGAGCTGAAGCGGAGCTAAAGTTACTTACAGTAAGCTAAAGGGGAGCTAAAGTTGTAAAGAGTGAGCTGAAGGGGAGCTAATGTTACTTGAGGCAAGCTAAAGGAGAGAGAAAATAATTTTAAGCGAACGAAAGTGTAGCTGAAGTAACCTAAAGCGAGCTGAAGCGGAGCTAAAGTTACCTAAAGCTAGCTGAAGGGGAGCTAAAGTTACTTAAAGCAAGCTAAAGGGGAGCTTAAGTTATCTAGAGCGAGCTGAAGAGAAGCTTAAGTTGATTTAAGCAAGCTAAAAATACTTACAGCAAGCTAAAGGGAAGCTAAAGTTGTATAGAGCGAGCTGAGGGGGAGCTAAAGTTACTTTAAGCAAGCTGAAGGGGAGCTAAAGTTATCTAGAGCGGGCTGAAAGGGAGCTAAAGTTACTTTTAGCAAGCTGAAGAGGAGCTGAAGTTATTAAAAGCAAGCTAAAGGGGACCTAAATTTATGAAGAGCGAGCTGAAGGGGAGCTAAAGTTACCTAAAGTAAGCTAAAGGGGAGCTTAAGTTATCTAGAGCGAGCTGAAGGGAAGCTAAAGT